CGGCTGCGGGCAGGGGCTCAGCACCACCTGGGGCACCCCTGGGCGGGCACCCGGCTCACATCCTGTCCCCCCCCGGGGCACCGGGGCTCAGGCCAGGATCTTCTGGGGGATCTCCACAGAGGCTTTGATGAAGATGGCGTTGTCCCGCACGTAGTTCCGCTTCTTGATGTCCTCATGGGAGATGAACTTGGGGTAGCCGAAGCCCAGGGTGCTCTCGTCCAGGGAGCTGCGCGAGGCTCCTGGCTTCTGGAAGTTTTTCCAGTTGGGATCGGGGTGGAAGGTCTCGGTGATGTGCTGGGGCTTGGAGAGCGAAGGGTCGCTCTGGTCCAGCAAGGAGAAGGTGACGCGGTAGGAGAAGGGCCACTCCAGCAGGTTGTCGTACTCGCCCGGCAGCACGCGGATGTAGACGGAGAGGGGGCTGCTCTCCCCGCTCCCGCTGCCGTTGAGGAAAGCCGAGACCTGGAGCTTGTAGCCGTACTTGTGGGTGTAGAAAGGGGGGCTGAAGAACTCGTAGTTGCTTCGGGCTTTGGCCTCCTGCAGCTTGCGGGCGTAGTCAGCGATCTTCCAGATGAGGGTCCCGTCGCTGCTCACCGACAGCTCCTCCACATCCCGCCGCAGCTCCAGGATCTCCTGCCGCTGCCGGCTCACCAGGGCACACACCATACCCAGATGTGTCTTGGTGCTCTCCTCCAGGTGACGGCCCATGGCCAGCTTGGGGCACTGCAGGGACAGCGGGACCGTCAGTGCGGGGGGGGTTCCAGGGGCATGGGACAGCGTGGGGACACGGGGTGGGACAGCACAGGAGAAGGATGCCATGGGGATGTCACGGAGATGTCGTTGGAGCATGGGGGTACTGGAGCAGGACGGCACAGGGATGCTGTGGGGACACCGAGGTGGCACAGGGACACCTGGTTGGCAAAGTGACACAGGGGTGAGGCAGGACAAGGAGGGAGACACATGGATGGGACAGAGCAGAACAGGGACACCACAGGGCACAGGACGGACATCAGGGCAGGAGAGGTGTGGGGATGCTGTAGGGCACAGGCGCACCATGATGGGAACGGCACAAGGATGCTGGGGTGGGACAGGCACAGGGACGCCGGCACAGGGCTGGGGACGCGCTCACCCGGTGCTTGCAGCCAGCGTCCTTGAAGGGGCACAGCAGCATGGCAGTGTTGCAGCTCTCCTTGAGGTGGGTGGGCACATCCTCCCGGGCGATGCTGGGCGTCCCGCACTGGTTGGGGCAGGGCACGGGGTACCGGGGACACTGGTACTGTTGGTTCTGGGGACAGAGGGCAGCCGTCAGCTGAGATCAAGAGCCAGCGGGGCGAGGGTCCCCATGGGCCCTGTCTCACCTGGATGGTGTCGAAGACGAACTCCTTGGCGCAGTAGGTGCAGGGCTGGGTGCGCTTGGGGCACTCGGCCAGGGTGTGCTGGGACAGCAGGCGCCGCATCATGCGGGCCCCGCACTTGTTCTCGCAGTACACGCTCTCCTGGGGACACGTGCCCTGGTGGCCCTGGGGACCGCAGCAGAA